TTTATAGTAAATTAAGTAATTTATAACTTAAAATACTACTTCATTAGATAAATATCTTTTCATTTATGTGATAGCAAATTCTACATGTACTTCAGGAAATTTATTTAACTTCTAAGTACAGAAGAATTGGAAAGAAAGCACAAGTGAGCAGATGTAGAAAGAGTGGAAGCTTGAGTACGAGTGTGAAACGTCAGAGCAGTGGTTTGCTATGACAAAACCAGAGTCAAGACACTTGGAATCCAGTCTTCAGTAGGCCATCACCCCGGATATTATTTTGGATATGCCACTTAATTTCTCTGAGACTCTGAGACTCAATTTCTTGTCTTGAAAAATAAATGGTTAGAACTGTCTTAAAACTGACTGAGTTACTGATTTAAAAATTTAAAATCAAATGAAGAATAGATTTTAGTTGCGTATGTGTAAAAGAATTAAAAAAAAAAAACACTAATGAACATTAACATTTAAACTTATTTCAAAAATTTGTTTTTTGCTAAGAAAAGAAATTAACCATTACTAAAACAACTATGTTAATTCAAATTTTGAAAAATAAAAAGTGTCTTAAAGGGTTCTAAATGGGCTTAAAGATATAAGTCTCCCTATATTAACAAATACCACAAGGAGAATATCTAGTAGTGTCTCCAATTTAGGAGGTACCTATTTAATGGAGTTATTATTTCTCTATGTTTTGGTATACTCATTTAAATCATTATAATTTTGAATCTTCATTCTTTAATGCCTATTATTTCCCTCTCACAGCTTCATGTAATCAGTCAGACAATTTGGTAAACATTCTTCCCAAATAAAATCCAATTAAAACAGGAGATAAACCAGATCACAGACTACAGAATTCAGTTAAAAATCTACTTTCAGGGGCCAGCAGGTGGCATAATGATTAAAATGTTGAACCCCGACATGGCAACTGTTGTTCAAGTCTCGGATCTGGCAACTTGAAAATCAAGTCAGGCATGTGTGCATACATTCCTGAAATCCCAGTAAGAGAATGGAAAAGGGATTATAGTTTAGCCATCCCCACTGGGGGATGATTTCTCACTTTTCCTCTTACTGTCTCTCTCTCTCTGTCTCTCTCTGGCAAGCACACACACTCTACGGCTAAAACCTAGAACAAAATAAAAAGAAATCTACTTTCAGAATGAAAAAATAATCATAATGAAATAGAATACTCTTTAAAACAGGTTAAGCATAGTTTCAAATTTACCAAAAAGCATTCATAAGAACAGCATAAAAAGGGGAACCAATAGGTGGCATAGTGGTTAAGGTACTGTACATTCCCACATGGCTGACCACAGTTCAAGTCCTGGACCTGGTGGTTTGCTTTCTCACTTTCCCTCTCTCTGTCTCTCTCTGGTCAAATTAAAATAAATGAATGAATGCATACAATTAAATTTTTAAAGTTCTTTTAAAAAAAAAGAACAGCACAAAACATTTAATACCTTATTAAAAGGATATAAATTTTAGGACTACTTTTATACAAGCAAAGTAACAAAAAGTTTTGCAAAATTTCACACTTTAAAATTTTTATAAACTACAAAAACACAAGAAAATAAAAATTGATAATCTTATTTTCCAAATGATTTATAAAAACTGTTCATAGTTAATGTTTTCGAAATATTGACCAGATTTTACTAACAAAAACTGTATAACATACAAGCTCACAAAACAAATTATTTTATGTGTAAATTATAAGGATGTAGCTTTCCTGTGGATGCTGTGATTATATTACATTCTGCTCTATTTATGCTGTTAAACTCACAAGACCAAAGCTATTTCCTTAAAGGCCGCCCTTCCTAAACATGAACAAAAGTCATTAGTCCCTGTCTGGATTATTCATCTATTTTAGCTGTCAATCAGTAAGCAAACTATGACATGAGGCATTGGATAAATGGGCTTGGATACTCCACAGTCAGCTTGTGTATCTTTCTCCTCAGTCTAGTCTTTAAAAAAGGCAGAATTCCAGGTACTGTGTATTATGCTTGGCAATAGGTGCCTGGCATCCATGATCTGATCTGGTGCCAGAATAGAATTTAACATAAACTATTTTCTTTCACGCTACTACATAGATAGAACAGGACCATAACCATATTATCTAGTTATGAATCACACAATGGGTATGTCTTGAATCTTTATAGCTTGTGGTAACTTGATTAAGAGGTCATACAGCATACCATTTAAGAGGACACAAACAGTATAGTCAGGCTACCTGGTATAAATCCTACTGTTCATTTGCTAGCCATGTACCAATATACTTACACTGAGTTTCCTGATCTACAGAACATGAAAACAGCAGTAACTAGCTCACCGAGATTACAAAGTGACTTAAATAAGAAAAATTACTTATAAAGGGCTGGCATAATGTTAGAAAATTATAGTGGCTAAATTCATTTAAAAAAAGACTCATCATCTTAGCTGTACTATTGGGCAGTGAAACAAAAAGAAGGATTTTCCACCTTGGATTAAATTACTAAACTGTAAATGGCATCCTGTCCCTCCCTCCCTCAACATATACACATTTATAGGCAGTGACCCCAGCAGAGATTGCTTCCAAAGAATAGGGGAAACTTAAGGATCAAGTTTCAGAGCCACGTCATTTTGTCAGCCTCCCACACAAGGCAATGGCAATGCTTTCCCCACTAACAGTTCTGGAGTTTCTACACTTAATTCTTATGCTTTCCTTATGGTGCCATAGCATTAACTACCAAAAGCTGATGCTATTAATGCTTATTGACTGAGAAAGAGAGAGAGGATCATTTTATGAGGTTCAGGATACTTCTTAGCAAGTAGAGGATAGGATAATGGAGAACACAGAGAGTTCAGCATGTTCTTGGAGTCCTAGTGCTCCTGTCACCATAGCTTCACACAAAACACACCAGTCTTGACAGACAGGTCCTCAGGATATCTATGCATTTTCTTCCAATGTTTCATTAACTGTGGTTTTAAATAGCATAATTTATAGTAATTCCTATTACAAAACTGGATACTAAAGTTGGAAAATAAACTGATAGGTTATTTCTGAAACTCTAAAAATATCACAGTCTCAGATGGGGTACTTTGACAGAAAAAAATTTGAGATGTTAGTTTTCCTTCTATAAACCCAAATCTTGGGATTTGGGGACTAGCTTATGACCTGCTGGTTAAAAGAGCTGAATCTCACATAGTTGACCACAGTTCAAATACTTGACAAACACATCAGACACCTGTGTGTGTATGTGCCCAAAGTCTCTATCGGATGGATCAAGGGAGAAGAGAGTGCAGCTTGAAAACACTCCACTGGAGGGCACTTTCTCTCTCTCATTCTCTTTCTCTGGACAGTGCATGTGCCCTCTGGCAACAACAATAACAACAAAAGATTCCAGCTGAAAACAAAATTACATAACAATAATTCTTAAAGACTAAGAAAATTATACATGGTATTTAAAATACTACTATAATTTTGTAAAGTTGAGTAAATTTAACATGTCCAAAAATATAATGACAGAAATTGGCCAAACAAAAACTCACCAATAACATAAAAAGCAAGAGTGTTATAAAAGAACTATCCTCACAAAAATGTTCTCAGCCCTAATAAATTTGTTAGTGAAGTCTTATAAATATTTAAGCTCAAATATTCCATGTCACGGCAAAAAAATAAAGAAATAAAGGGAAGGTAGTCAATACATTCAATAAAGCAAATATAACCCCAGGACTAAAAATTAGATAAATTAGTTTCAAAAATTTAATTATGTACAAAGTCCCTCTCACACAAGGAAAATTGCTAGGTAATATAATTTTAAAAGTTTTGTAAAATGTAGGTAAGAAAATCATCTCTAACTTTTTACAGTATGTGGCAGTAAAAGAACCTCTAGTGCACTATTAAGATAGAATACACTACACCAAGGTAACTGGTTGCTTTAGTGCTAGTACATAATTAAAGTGATTTCACAATTACCAACAGATTCACTAAAAAAACACGAATACAAAGAGGTAAATAATTGATTCTCCATAAATGAAGAGCCCTTTGCCCAAGAATAAACCACCTTATTTAAAAAATGACCAGAGGGGCTAGTTAATATGGTTAAGCAGGGTTCAATTTATAACATGTAGACAATATGAATGCTACTTCTGTGAAATTTTCAAAATTTAACCATATATTAATAACATCATCAGACAAAATAAAGCTATTCTAGCTGCCTAGAAATTCATCTAATTTAACTGAACTCAAGGAATATGTAATATGCATTGGGAGGGGAAATAAATGACAAGTCACAAAATAAAACTTTTGGATTTAAATCAAAGACCAAACTTACTCTTTTTCTAAAAGATTTTTTTTAAGCTTTTAAAATCCTTGGAGGATATTCAAAAAAATTTTTTACCCCAAATCCACATTTGATTAGATCCCCAAAGTTTGATTATTTTTTTCCCCAAATTTTAAACTTTGAGACCATTGAGTTAATAATTAATTTCAAAGTATATGCCCACAAACAATCACAAGAAATTATATAAATGTGAGTAAAAACTCATAGTTGGGAGGGGAATGGATTCTAGAAAATTCCCATTTAACCCACGGTGGTACAGACTATAGACTAAAAGTCAATCTTTTAGGGAAACATTTCCTTGAAACGTAGGGTCTTGAAAATAGGAGGGATATGGAGTAAAAAGTAGAAAAAATAAAAGTATAAAAAAATTACTTCAAAACTTGTGATTATAAAATTATATACTATATGGCATAAATTGAACCCTGATTTATTGTAAAATAAAGCAAAATTTAAAATTAACAGAACAATTCACACTGTAAGTAAGAGATAGAACTGCAACCCCAATTTAATAATTTTAAACAATTATTGCCCCAATGAGTTTGGAAGAGACACAGCCCAAGAGATTATTGTTCAGGATAAGAATAACAAATTAATATATACAAAATGCAATGCCCTAGATAATTTTCTGGTCTGGGGTTAGCATTGCATGTAGCAGAGATTAGAAATAAAATAGAAATTTCTATTTCCTACCTATATCACTGGCTACCATCTTGGAAAACTTTCTGCTTTTGGTCTTCACTGAAAATAATATTTTGATATAAAATGTCAAAATCTATTCAAAGTAAACTAAATAAATTAAACATAAACAAAAGAAAATACTTTAAAATAAAGATACTATACCCTTTTCTATAAAATTATTCATTTTTTGTTCATCATCTGAATTGTGTGGTGATGAAGAACCTACACAAATGAAGACAATGGAAGGAACAAGCAGAGAATCAGTCACAAACACTGAGCTGTCACATGAAAAAAGTACAAATGAAAAATCTGGTAACTTCTAAGTTTTCACATTACTGACCACTGGAGAGGCCATGTACACAGTTAACAATCATTCTCACACTATCACGATATAGCAATCACTAGTGCAGTACCTTTCGTGGTAGTCCCAAGTATATGCAAATATTAACTGTATAATCATTGTTTTCCTTAAGTAATGATAAATTGGCAAAATTGTGAAACATATTATATATTAAAAAACACAGAAGTTTAATTATGTACAAAGTCCCTGTCATGCAAGGTAAAATTCCTAGGTAATTTAATTCTAGTTGTTTACTAAAATGTATGTGAGAGTCTTATATAAGTAGTAGCTAATAGTTCCTTAAAATAGTAGGTAGTAGTAGCTAACTATTTCTTAAAGAAAATCTAGAAATTCCTGGTATTAGCTAACTGAATATGGTTTCATAGCAGAACCAAGATCCTATATAAGTATCATGCTGGGAAAATCTGTTATTTGGAGTTAGCCTGACAGTTTAAAACTACATATCCATTCTACTAACATTACCATACAGATCTTTAAATCAAACAGTAGGAATCTTTAAAATCATGGAGAGAAACTCGTATTTTTAGACATGCTTCAATTTTTATTTAAAATTGTTGAGGTAAAAATACTTAATTGTACTTTGACTGTGACTTCCAATGTTAATATATTATCTGACATCTTAAAAATTAAGATTTTATTTGTGTTTTTCACTCAAAAAGTGTTTCTGATTTCTCATAGACTTTAATTTATAACATACGTCTTTCATGCTGAATGCAATCCAGAGTCGTATTCTGGGTGATGACTCCGAGAGACCTATTCTTCATAGGAACATCTGCAATGCTCTCTCGTCCATTAAATTTTGCAGTCTCTCTAACGTCCCTACCTTTCAATTCCCATAATGCTTTATCTATTTCTAATACGATGAATCATTTAATACCTTTTACTTTAAATTTACACATGTGTCCTTCCTCACTGGGATGAACTTTTAAAAAAGGGCCCACATCTGATTCATTTTTGCATCCTCTCTGTGACCAGTGAAGTAAGTGCTCTACTTATAGCACTCTCGAAATAAATATTTGCTGAATGAAGAAAGCTTTCCAGTCAGAAGGAAATACCTAGAACATCACTGGAAGTAAATAAGCTTTCTGTGCTTTAAACAGAAACAAAAGCAAGAAAACCTAGTAAAAATAATATATCTTAATGAATTACAGGTCATAAATGAACACCCTATAAACTCCTACCCACAAAGTTGGTAGGAGTTTCCTTCCTTTACCTAGGTAGCAAATATCATTAAGTCTTCTCTCTGATCAAGTAAAAGCTGTCAATGGTAGCAAGATCCAATTACTTCTACAGTGGTCCTAAAAGATTACTTTTTTTAAATCCACATTATTTTTCCTAGGTAAGCATTTACGTATTCATAAATCCCATGTCAGGTATTATCACACAGTTAACATTGAGCTCAGAAACACTTCTAGGAATAGAAATAGGTATAGCTGTTTTTCATATAATATAAGTCATATTTAAAGAATATCATAGTTATGTTAAAGTATCATGGTCATCTCTGATACTAAGCAGCCACAAACATGTATAAAAATGTATTATTAATACTAGTTTTATTTGACATATTTCACATCAGAACAATAGTAGGATAACATATCCATACATAATAAAATTATAAACATTTCTGATTTCAAAAATAAAAGTAGTCAACATAGGTATCATAACCTCTATGGAAGCCCGTGAAGAGTTCCAAATGGTTTCTACCATATCCTACTTGAATATATTTACCAAAGTACTGCAGTTAAATATAGAGAATATCTAGTTTATTTTTTTCTTCCTGAAGTCACCATTTATATCATAATTGTGGTCTTGAGTTTCCTTCAGTTTGAAATAATTTAAATACTTTTTAATCATTTAAACCTGACTATTTCATATCATGCTAAAAAGAATTCCTACAGTAAAGTGCTCAGTGAAGCAACCTGAGTTGTCTGAAATGAAGATCTAATGGAGACTGGCTCCTTCATCTGTACAGGATACATAAGCTCAGGAGGCAGAAATGACTTTTCATGTCAAAGAGACCACTGGCTTATTTAAAAATAAATGGAAAGGGCAAACTATACTCATTACTTTGATTCTCACACAATAATTTTTGAAGAGCTTAGATGCTAATTAGTTACATAGCTGAATCACATCTCAATCGTGGGCTTTAAAAGCTTTTCAAAAATGTTTCTCTACATTTATATAAATTATTTTAAGTAAATATATTGGTTTTGTTAAAAGTTATAGTTACTTTACATGTCTATTATACTGATCCTCTTGTTAATATTTATTAGGGACTCATTTTAACCCAAGTCATTTTTACATAATTCTTTTCACGTAAAATACTAACTTTAAAAAATATTAACTATATTGGCTTTAATAATCTACAATGTATCATTTAACTATTCTATTTGTTATATGTCATTGTGAAGAAATATTTGAGGCTAGTAATTTAATTACTACATTTCATGTTTTAACAACATGAGCCCTTTGAGGCTCTTTGATTTGTTTCAAATTCATCCCATTCATTATTCCTTTTTGATCATCCCAAATTAGTGGATTTTGCATGTATTATTGATAGCAATAAGAAAATATTATTTATCTCCCTGCTAGAATACTAACAGGGACAAAGGCAAAAAAACTGACAAATACGTGAAGGGTAAGACAGCCCATGATAGATAGCCAAAATCACTATTAACTATTTAAAAGTAGACAGGTAGAGAAAGACATGTGAGTTGTAAGAATTAAAAAAAAAAACAACAGTTTTCCGATTCTCATTCTTTTAAGTTTCTGTTGTCATCTCCTTGGTATTTATGTCTGACTCTCCATCGGAAACATGTTTTTACGACACAACTGTTCCCTACCAAAATTTATCTTTTTTTCAAAAAACAACCTTTCTTGATGAGTAGGAGTGAACTCAAGTCCTCAAGGAATTTTTATATCTTTCAGAGAATGACCAAGAGTAAGCTAAATAAGAATTTTATATCTAAAAATAAAAAATTGATATTTCAATGATTTTTGAGGTCACAATTTTTACTTTGCATTTCAAACTCAGAGATGGAAACAATAAAATACCTAGTGTCTTATGACTTTCTCCATGTTAAAACTATTCTCTGTTCACATTGCTCAGAAAGCAAATTAAATTTGAAAATACTGAAACATATTTGAATTTCTCTCATTTGAAGAAGAGGGAATTCAGAGTGCTTTTACATTTATGCACTTTTTATATTTATATACTTATATTTAAATATATTTGTACACTTATCTATAAGTACTTCTTACTTAGTTATTCCAAAGTCCTAGAATGTCTGAATCACCTTTTGAATGTTTGGATTAAGGTAAAAAGGAGTATTAATTTGTTTCAGCTGAATATTATTAAAGCCACTTTGGATGGTCATGTAATACATTTAAATGAAATAGTTACAAGTTACACTCCCAAATTATTCACCTTGCCTTATATCCTTAACATACTGACAACTGCATTCATGTGGGCTTTGGAGAAGGTAAGAAGAAAACAATAAGAAGGCAGTTGGAAAATGAAAGTAGAAAATGAAAGATATTATAATTCTAAATGCCAAATTCAGAAAACCATTCTAGTTCTATGAGACAGAAAACAGTCATTTGCTTCATATTATCTTTAAGCTGTATTCCACCAGTGGTAAGACTTAATATCAGGTAGTACTTGTGTGAATGACTCCCGTGGCTCCACCATTTTAGTAGTTATTCATGAGTAAATTTAACAAAAAATTTAAACAATAAAAATAGTATGAATACGTTTTTAACTATAAGAAATGATCCACTTGTATAATCAGAAAAATGCAATTAAGAAAGTAAATCAGGTAAGCCATGGTCATGCTGAGGCTGGTCGTAGAGTACAGCAAGAAGATCCTGTTGCGGGTGCCTGTCTCTTTCTCTCTCACAGAAAAAAAATAATAATAAATACCTTTTTTAAAAAAAGAAAACAAAAATCACAGTAGTGTTTACAGTCTTAAATTTAGTAAAATGTAAGGTAAAAGGTGAGGGAATAAAGTTAAATATCTGTTCTCAAAGCTTTCCTTTCTTACAATTGCTTCCAGTGACAGACCCAGTTATGGAAGGACCAAAATCTGCCTAAGAACAGTATTATTTATGCCATGAATAAGCTATAAAATTCCTAACCAGAATGATTTAATAAATATAATTTTTAAAATTATGAAATAAAATTTATTAAAGATCAGCAAAGTTTCAATCTAATAAAATAATAAATTCAGGATTTTCTTCATTTCAAGAGACTTTAAGACAAAGTAAAAATATGTTCCTTTGGGGGCCTGCAGGTGGCGTGGTGGTTAAGGCACTGGACTCCCAACAGGGTCAACCACAGTTTGAATCATGGACCTTGGCGGCTTGCTTTCTCAACCTTCTCTCTTTCTCTCTCTGTCCCTCTCTGTTGAGTGCATGTGTCTTGTAGCAAATTAAAAAATAACGACAACGATAAATAAATTATTCTTTTTTGAGAGAGAGAGATTTTTTGCAACAGGGCATATGCACCTGCCAGAGAGACAGAGAAACAGAAAGCAAGAAATCACCCCCCAGGGGGCAATGGTCACGCTGCAACCCCTTCTCATCCATTCACCTCTTGGGATTTTGGGTGCACGCACACACATGCCCAGCGTAACTTTGAAGCCATCAGGTCTAGGATTTGAACTGCGGTCAACCACTTGAGAGTCCACTGATATAACCATTACACCATCTGCTGGTCCCCAATAAATAATTCTTTTAAAAAAATGTTACTCTGTAATAGAATATACAGAGAGGTCACATAAAGACCTATTTTTAAAGCTCATCATCATTATTATTGTTTTTGAGAAACAAGAGCAAAAGAAAGCAAAAGCAAGAAAGACAAACACCCTCAACATGGGCCCATTCTGTGATCTACTCTTGGTCTTTCCAGCCAGCTAGGACTACAGCACACTTCCTCGGCATGTGAGGTTCAATAACATGACCGGACCTTCAATCTTCTTTATGATCCTGTGTGACTTGAGCAGAATACACTGCTGTGCCGCTGAGCTAGCCCAAGACCCAGCCTTCGTTAAGAAAGAACTGCTTTTTTTAAAATATAGCTCTCTACATACATATATATGGAGATATGTAAAAATTACTCCAATTAAATAAACCAAATCTAACTATTGTATAATTATCCTAATTATCTACAGTCACAGATTTTAAGTATTAAAATTCTCTCATAGCATTTAAATGGAAATTACTCAAACACTAAAGAAAAGGAGATTATATCATCTTTTCTTTGACTCAATTATTCTACTAAAAATGTTAGAAAATACCTAGAGCAAAATAAAAACCAGAGGAAAAAAAAGTCTGATAGTTAATTAAAACATCTAATCTAATAGTAATGAGTAAAATATATTTTTTCTAAAGAACTATAAATATTAGAAAGTTAAATAAACAATTATATGACTTTTAATCACAAAAGCTTTGAAGTTTTATCCAGTCCAAACTGTAGTTGCTTTCACATAGTCAGAATGGAAAGAATACACTTACAACTTAAAAAATAAACAAGACACAAAGTTTCTTTTAGGTGTAATTTAGGCGTTTATCTCTCAAAAGATATGATTAATATACTCTCTTATTTTCTGTAGAATCATAATTATTAATGTGATAAAAAAACTAATTACCAGAAGTCGGAGATTTGCAGCGATCCTCAGGGACCACAGTCCCTTCACTGATATCGCACAGACCGGCTAAAAAAAAAAAAAAAAGCATATATTCACAAGTGCAATACTGTCTGTTTACAGCACACATTTAATTACTGCTCCTGTAAGAAAACCCAGTAAATTAAGAGATTGTCAGTATTGCTACTATGCTCATTAGGTTTAAAATAGGAATATAGGAACATATTAATCTTGAAACTAGTCTGATACAGCAGTCATCATTTATACAAATTAAAACATATGTTGTGGGACCAGCAGTTGGTGTAATGGCTACGTCACTGGACTCCCATATAGTCAACTGTGGTTCGAGTCCCGGACCTGATGGCTTAAACTCACGCTGGGCGCGTGTGCATGCGTGCCCAAGATCCAAAGAAGAGAATGGAGGAGAAGGGATTGCAGTGTGGTCATCCCCCCTGGGGGGTGATTTCTCGCTTTGTGTCTGTCTTTCTGGCGAACGCACGTGCCCTATAGCAAAAACCTCTCAAAAAAGAAAAAAAATAAAAAGATTGTAAGCAGAATTTCCAAGAGATAATTTACTATTACTCAATAACATTATATATAAGACTTTGTTTAAAATTGTAATGTATGTGCATTTGACATACTTCTTACTGAGAGTTTTCTTGATGGAGAATAAAAGTATGGTAATTTTTACATCATTAGGACCCTCAGTACTAACCTCAAAGTGGTTTTCCCAAAAATGTCTCAAGCACCTCCCCTAAATATATTTGAATGATAATTAAGAGTATATTTTGCTATCTCCAAATATGCAATGTTTGAAATACTGCACATTACTTATCTTTAGGGCTATATATCTTAAAAATTAAACTGTCATATGTTTTAAAGCACACTAATAAAATATTTTCTTTTCATATATACATCAATAATATAAAAATTATCTACCTTTTAGAATATCCCAAATTCTTAGCTTAAATCAAAACAAGATATTTCATACTACAGACAAGAACTAAAAGCTATTGGGGACCAGCAGTTGGAGTAATAGGTAAGTCTCTGGACTCCCGTGTAGTCGACCGCAGTTCAAGTCCCAGATCTGGTGACTTAAACTCACGCCAGGTGTGTGTGTGTATGTGCCCAAGATCCCGTGAGGAGGAGGGATGGTGGTGTCACCATCCCTTCTTGGGGGGTTATTTCTCACTTTCTGTCTGTCTCTCTCTCTCTGTCGTTCTGGCGAGCGCATGCACCCTATAGCAAAAACCTCTCAAAAAAAAAAAAAAAAGAAGGAAAAGAAAAAACAACAAAAAAAGGAAATAAAGCTATGGTAAAATACAAAGCAAACACATATTATGAATATTAATTTGCCTAGTGATCATTAAGAAAAAGCCTCTGTTAATTGTTAAAAAATTACAAATAAAAACGTGTCAGGAACATAAACTAGCTGGGTAACAGTAAGGTATCACATGTTAAAGGCTTCAAAATCAGGTGTGTCGACATATGTGCATGTCTGACTAGTAGCTGTTTTCCCATAACTTTGGGAAAAGACAAGAAGCCATAATGACTACTGTGATGAAGAAAATTTCTGTAACATTTTTAGAGAACATTGGATACTGAATTGGGTTTATAAGAATATGAACCATATATTGGGTTGTAAAATGTAATGACATATTTTTGCATAGAAAAACAGAAGAAAATGTAATGACAAAAATTTTTTGCATAGAAAAACAGAAAAATATATCATGACTTTTCTGACAACTCAATATTATCTGTTTCCATTAGGAAGAGGATTTTTCTTTTGTTTGGTTTTTAATCTTCATCAAACTAATGGTTTTGGGGAAAAAGTCTGTTTTTTATAATTCTATGATGATAGATGTAGGTGTAGGTATGCATTTAATCTTTGACAAAATGTTTTATAAATGAACTCTTTCTTGAAAGAACACCAAGCAGATCTCAAAAAAGTAGTATATACTCTAGTATTATAATGTGTCTAGTACTGAATAAAAATAATCAATTTTGAAATTTTGACCCCTTGGTATTTCTATTAACTGCTACTAAACACTATAAAAATGTACCATGTGTATATTTCATTCTAAAAATAGCTCAGAAGGAAACATTATGAAGTGGAGTTAAAGAATGTGGAGAAAGATTATTTAATTTATATACGAAAATGTATCACAGTAACTATTAAATGAACAAAAATCCCCCTCAATGCCATCTGTCTTACGCAGAGTAAGATCAAGGTGCAGCCTCCATGGTGAGTTGGAGTGCATCGTCCTCCGTGGATGTCCCGCCGTTACCTCTGATTTTACTCCCTTCCCTCCTGTGTACTTCCCCACGACCGTCGCTCTCTCTCCAGCCACACACTCGTCCCTGTTTTTGGAACTCATGATTTGTACTTGCTGTTCTTTTGCAATGGAATGTTTCTGTCACAGATTTCCTCATAGGTAACAGCTTTCCTCATTATCTTTTTACCTTCTTTATTCTAGAGCCACCTGCATACTCTATTTAAAATGTAATATCCACGTCACTGATAGTTCAAATCCCCTTTCCTTTCATGATTTCCTATGATATTGCTATGGTACTTACTATCTGTTACTTATTTTTCTCACAGTCTGTCTTTCCTAGGAGAATGGGAGTGCCATGAGGGCAGTGCTTCTTGTCTGCTTTGCTGCCATAATTGCGTGCAGCACGTGGTAGGTGCTCAGTAACTAGCCCTCAAAGAACTGAATGAATATAAATAAAGTAATTTCACGGCATCTAATCTAAGCCATCCTCTCTGTTAGAGCCAGAATCCTTTCAACAAATATTACTAGAAAGGCATTTATCTTGCAGAATTCTACTTATCCCAACCCAGTTAGCTAGCTGATCATAATCAACATTTACTGTTTACTTTTTGCCTGATATGGATCTAAGTGCTAACTCAAAGCACTTAGAGCTGGGTGAAAAATAAGCAGTTTCATCCTCATCTTAGAGAAGAAGCAACTGAAATACTAAATGTCTTACACAGGGACAGAAACCTAACTATTTTTGGAGACAGTCCATTTCAATGGCACTATTAGATTTACTTTACTGGTGTAAAGTTCTGCATATATTAGGGCAAAATTTGCACGCATAAATAAATACATAAATAAATAAATAAATAATCAAGCCTGCTTTAAAAATAAGGAAGAAATACAACATACAAAAAAGTATCATTTAAAATCTATACTTCTCACATGAGTGTGTTTAGCAGTTTTGGGCACACATTAAGTTGAGGTCAACAGTAATAAAACATCCAGCCAAGTGCAAACAATGGTTCAGTCAGGAGATCAGGGAGGCTGCCTGTGCCACCTCACTTAATGATACTAACTTTTTTTTTTTTTGAGAGGTTTTTGCTATAGAGTGCGTGTGCTCGCCAGAAAGACAGAGACAGAGAGACAGAAAGCGAGAAATCCCCGGAGGAGGAGCGGGTTGCCATGCCACAATCCCTTCTCCTCTATTCTCCTCTCAGGATGGATCTTGGGCATACATGCACAAGCGCCCGGATTGAGTTTAAGACACTGGATCTGGGACTTGAACTGCAGCCGACTACATAGGAGTCCAGTGACATAGCCATTATGCCAACTGCTGGTCCCAGTCCTGATACTAACTTTATGAGGGAATCATCATAACCCTTTTACCCAGGAGGACGCTGTGCCTCAAGAGAGGTCTCTTCTCTAGTATCACACACTTAAAAGAGGGTGGAAATTTAAACTCTTATCTACCTAACATGTTTCACATGAATTCTCTTGTGCCACTTTGTTCTGTATGTAATTAATTTTTATAATCTGATCATAAGACTTAGCATTTACTGCTGATAAACTGAATTTTTCTTGATTAACTTTAGTGTTTCTACCTACAAGTACTTTTTGAGTCTTCACTCTGCTATCAAATGTAGTAATACCCCTTACATGTGGCAATTTTGTTAAAAGCACACCTTCCCTTTCAAATTTCAAATAGAAAGCTTCATTTACCATATACGATACATGACAAAACATAATCATGTGTTATTCATTATAATATTATATATCCACTAGCTGAGGTGAACTAGATCAAGATTTATCAGGACATAACTTGGCCCACCAGGTAAGTGGACTAATTAAGGCGAGCTGACAAATGTTTGCTATACAGGTACAGACAGTAAAGTTTGGGCTTTCTGAGCCAAAAGCCTCTGCTGTGACAACTCAGCTCTGCTGTAGCACAAAAGCAGCCACAAGCCCTACAAACATAAGCCTGGTGCAGATCCAGTAAGGCAACATGTATGAAATCAGATTGGAAGCCAGGCTTGGCCAGCAGATGGCAGTTTGCTGGCTCCTGGTTTAATTAGCCCTGCAACCGACACGCTGAAGTAGGTATTCAGGTCCCTTCCACCTGTCTGGTTCACAAATACATCATGACCTTCTTTATCAAACACCTCATTAGTGCCAGAAAACATTACGTTAACAAGCGGTCATAAGTGATCATAAAGATAGTTAACAGATTTAAAGCGTAAAATTGATTTTGTTATAATCTCCTTACAGTGACCAGCTCATGACTTCTACCGATATATGTATGCACTGAAGGCACTCATTCTACAGATCTGACTAATGTGTCTATCAAATGAACTTATTTGTAAATTATTTGAACTTGACCAACTGCAGGTGTCTTTTAAACTGATGAACTTTTTCCAATACCTTTTTTTTTCAATACCTTTTTATTATTGATTGGTCTGCCTTATTTATACAAAGTAGCTTGGGCTTTAATTTTCTTTACTAGTTTTCATATCCTTCAGTGAGAAAAACCATTCTTTCAATAGAGAGTTGAGAAACAAAGTTATTTATTTCTATATTCTGTTTTTTTAAAGGTCATTTAAAACCATCCCTTAATTGGAATCTGTATCCCTCCTTCCTTACACTACTTTGATTGCAAGCAACCATTGTTTTATTCTCATTATTTGGAAGTTAGCCTTCATTCAGCACATTGATCTATGCAGTATTTTTATTTGTTCTTGACGGTTTCCCTTATTTAAATTAATAACAGTATTTTTTTTTTATTTATAGTACATACACACATACACTCTGAACCAGTACTACTGGGGCCCACATCTATTTTTCCTTATAGTAAAATCAAACACAACCTTCATGTTTTAGAGCCTCCTAAACATAAATTTTGAAAAAAAGACTTTTCCATATGTCTAGATATAGCTTTTTGCCTATAGTTTCCTTCTTTATCACTATCAGCTTCCAAGAATAAGAAATTTTTCTCCATATGTCTATCATTTCCATACCACTAATTAGATCTTATTTGGGCTTTAGAATTACATCAAGACAAACTTCCCCTGTTGTGTTTCACTTTGTGAATGATAAAGTGACGGGCAAAAGAAGACATATCATGTGTTTCTCTTTTAGCAGAATTAGACTTTTAGCTGATAGCATGGCAGCTGCAATACAAAGAGTCTTTAAAAAGTTAATGAAGGGGCCCACAGATGGCATAATGGTTACATTGCTGGATTCCCAGATAGTCTACCTCAGTTCAAGTCCTGGACCTGGTGGCTTGAAACTCACCCCCAAGTGCATGCGCATGCATGCCAAGATGCTGAGAAGAGAATGGAGGAGAGGAGATTGCAGAATGGCCACCTCTCCTGGAGGGTGATTTCTCATTTTTGGTCTCTCTGGTGAGCGCATGTGTTCTCTCCTTCCCCTTTTGGGATCTTGGGCACGCACGCACACACACCCAGCATGAGTTTAAGCCACCAGGTCTGGGACTGAAACCATAGTCGACTACATGGGAGTCCAGTGACATAGCCATTATGCCACCTGCTGGTCCCACAAAAATCTCTTTAAAAAAAAAAAAAAAAAGTCATGGGAAATTTGTATTATGACAAAAGGATGGGGTGGGCCACATCACACAGTATTTAAATGCTGGGCATAGGGAGCCAGATCTAACATGGCCAACTGCAGTTCAAATTCTAGCCACAGTAACTTAGAAAACACACCAGGCTTCTGTGCGTGCACCAAATCCTGACAGGATAAAGAAACGAAGGAGGGACCAGCAGTTAGCGTAATGGCTATGTCATTGGACTCCCATGTAGTCGACCGTGGTTTGCATCCCAGACCCAGTGGCTTAAAACTCACGCCGGGCGCGTATGCGTGCGTGCGTGCCCAAGATCCCGAGAGGAGAGGGGATTGCGGCGTGGCCATCCCCCCTGGGGGGGGTGATTTCTCGCTCTCTGTCTCTCTGTCTCTGTCTGGCGAGTGCACACACCCTATAGCAAAAAAAAAAAAAAAATGAAGGAAAAAGGATTGTGGTGGTGTGACTGCACCCTACTGGAAGGTGATTTCTCTCTCCTTTTCTGGAAAGGTCATACACCTTCTGGCAACAAAATAATTTAAAACAAACAAATAAACAAAAAACTGTGTAAGGAGTTAAGTTTTTTTTCTATAACTAAATAAACTCAGATTATAATTCTAGTTCTTGCAAACTTTCTGAATGTACCAGCATATTTAATCACTATCTCCATGGTAGCTTAATAATTATGAAAACAGCCCATATTTTAATGAATAGTACAACTGTAGTATATTATAGCTATAACACATTTAACTTAGCCTAAACTATAGTACCTTATAAAATAAATTCAGGAGTGAGACTAAGTTGTTTCTTTTTTTTTTAAGTTTGCTATGGGCATATGTACTTGCCAGGGAGAGAGTGAGAAAGAGAAAGTGAGAAATCACTCCCCAGGGAGATAGCCATGCCGCAATCCCTGCTCCTCCTTTCTCCTCTTGGGACTTTTGATCATGTATGCAAATGAGTCTGGCATTATTTTCAAGCCTCCATGTCCAGGACTCCAATCTCCCAGTCAACGATGTGGGATACAGCCGCCTTAACCTCTAAATCATCTGCTGGTCCAAGAATATCTTTATATCAATGTAATTAAGGAACTTTATTACCATTTATTCTACACTTCTAATTTTATTTGAAATATAAATAAGTATCTTTTAGAATTTTAGGGATAAATATTTAAGAAGTTATTCTGTAGCTTATTTTCAAATAGTAAAAATAACTATTTTATAATACTTATAATATAACACTAACTACTGACAAACTAAGGCATGATAATAATGGGCAAATATCTTAAATTAATCAAGAAAAACTCAAATAGTCCTGATCCTAAATACCTAATTTTTCAATATTAAATGAAGCAACTAATAATATAACTGATTTTATATAGCTTACCACAGAATAAGTAAGATACAGTGAAATTGGTAAAATTGGTTTCCATCCTTGGATAAATTTAGGCATTTAATATCTAGCAATTTTATGTAATGTATATAAGGTATAAAGTAAAAAAGCAATTAATTAGCTTTAGGACTAGTATAATTTTTAACACAAATTTATAAATAAGTATTTAAAGTTTTTGTTCTTGAGGAAAAAAATCATTTTCCTGTCACGATTATGTTCCAACTTAAAGACATCAGACTAGGACATAAACATTTAAATACCAGTTTCTACAGACATATGACGAGATGAATCTAAGTAATGAGTATAGTGTTTTACTTATAGAATGTTCTAATAAGTTCTTTTAAAAATAAATGAGAAAAAAGGATAATTTTACAGACAAAGAACAAATATGCCAAGACATAAATGACTTACTTAAAAAGGAAGAATGGAGTTTTTTCACAGACTCAGAATACAAGCTAGAAAGGCCGCCCATGCAAGAAGTCACAATCAGCATACCTTAGTGAGGCAATGAAAAGGGAAAGGAAAAAAAAGGAGACAAAGATACTACAATGGTAGGGTTGAGACAACAGTCTCTGCTGAAGATATAACATGACAAAATGATAACACTCACAAACAAAAATGGAAAAAAGAGATTGAAAAGAAAAAGTCAACAATCAAGCCAAAGTGATAGAAAGGTCTATTCTCTCACCTTTGAGGACACAGAAGTGGAGGTGAGTTTTTCATGAATTGTAAAATTAACGGTACTAGCTAATAATGTATTGAGAACAATTAAAAATAAATCTCAGAATTTTAATTCAGGGGTACTGAATTAGGAAGTATGGATCCCAGAGCTCCCCAAACACCGCTCCAATGCACACTGGTATTCTTCAAATACATTAAATATGCACCAAATACTATTCCTCTCAATCCCTTGTCTAGCTGGACAGGCCCTCGGGGGCCTAACAAACAAACGATTTTGTTTATTTTCATTTTTAGTTTTTTTGCCATATAGTGTGTATGCTTGCCAGAGAGGGAAACTGAGAAATCACCCTCCGGGGGAATGGTCATGTTGCAATCTCTTCTCCATTCTCCTCTCAAGAGTTGGGCACGCACATACCCGTGCCCAGTGCACACACTTGCCCAATGTGACTTTCTACCTGATGGGCCCCAGACTCAAATCATGTTCAGTCACGTGGGAATCTAGCATTTTAACCACCATGCCACCTCCTGGCCTTGTGAAGGCCAGTTATTACTAGAAACCTCACTGGTAAACTCCATATGCTATGCATCAAGGGCAACTGGTTGTGCATGTCATGAAGCAAAAAAAACGCAGGGTATACTGGTAGAGAGAGCTAACTACATACATGTTCCATGAGGTAGTAGTGTTAAAACATTTAAGATTAAGATTAATTGACTAGCAAACACAAAACTAAGAATGCTATGAAGAGAATTTTAAATTAATCTGGACCTGCTCTGAATCAGTGTGAGAATGCTAATTTTTTAGAATCAAACTTAACTTTTACACCTATTTTTTTTTTTTTCCCATGGGAATGGTTTCTTTGAATTATACAGTTGAAACAATGAGAGGGACCAGCAGTTGGTGTAATGTCTCCATCGCTGGACTCCCAGGTAGTGGTTCAAGTCCCAGATGCTGATGGTTTAAGCTAATGCTGGATATGTGTGAATGCAAATCCAAGATCCTGAGAGGAAAATGAAGGAGAAGGGACTGTGGGTGGCCAACCCCACTGAGAGGTGATTTTTCACTTTCTATCTTTCTGTCTCTCTGTCTTTCTGGCGAGCGCACACGCCCTATAGCAAAAACCTCTCTGAAAAAAGAAGAAAAAAGAAAGAAAAAAGAAACAATGAATTGTTAGTCTCGTAGAGACCAATTAAAAATATAAAATTTTGAAATTAAATTCTGTTCTATAATAATGACACAAATATTCCTGTCATTATAATTTAGTTGAGGAAGTCTAACACTGATTCCTTTCAACATTAAATAAAATTCTAGAATATTAAAAACAGAAACAAAAACCAGTAACAGTACAAAACAAAAATAAGACTCATACCTGCTGGTAGTTTTTGACAATTTATATCTACAGACTAAATCAGGCAAGTTATTTACCTAACTGAAGTACTTAGATTCATAGAAGTCAGTCAGCATTTTCAGAAATCCTACAGTCAAGATTTCTTTTTCTCTTTGTTTCGTTTTTACCTCCTGAAGGTTGTCGAGATTTGCGAGGAGAACGGGGTTCTCTCCGATAAGGATCATTAGAGCCATATAATTCAATAGTGCCCAAGTTGAGCAGCACTGCTTTCTGGAGGTAGTCAACCATTGCAATGCCATTACAATTGCCAAAAACCACCCTGAGAATAGGAAAAAAGCAATTATTTTAGCAAAAATCATTATAGGAAAACACAGCATATAAGGCTGAACACAAAAGAATGATGGGTCTTTCAGAAAATTCTTTTTTGAAACCAAAGCAACCATGGAGGTGGAAATACAAGTTACAAATGCCTTCTCCTGGAACTGCTTAGATATTCTGCAAACATTAATTACTCATATAACTAAATCAATCGATCATTATTATCAATTATAAAAATACCTAGCATAGGCATTAAAACTTCATCAAACATAGAAATTTCCCACACTCAGCAATGTCAAGTATATTTTTCTGCTTTGAGAGCATTTTGAACCCTCAGAGAAAGATACTCCTTCCACTACGAAAGTAAGAAATTATACAGTGCGGAAAGTTTTGGTATTTCCTACAATCAAAATTAAACAGTATAAAATATCAGTTTTGGAGGCCTCCATTTCTAGTGTTTAAATGCATTCTTGATTACAAGTCAGGAATTACAAAACAATCAACTAAATAAAGAAACTTTATTCTTTTAACATCTCTTAGGCCAGGAGTTGAAAAATGACATAAAAGTAGTAAGAATGAACAAGCACGAACTACGGTGATTTGAAGAGTGCGTGACACATCTAAAGAAGAAAATCTCAACTTAGTTCCAGCTGACTAACTGTCATGCAGGAAAGCAGACATGGGCCAGATAGATTTTCTTCAGTTGAAGCTCTAAATATGAAATTACACATTATATAATCTTGGTGACTGATTCAAATTTTAACAAGATGCAGAAAGGGCCAAAAAAAGTAATTCCAGTAAGGCCAATAATCAATTGATCTGCAACTACTTTGAACATTTCTATTTTTTTCTTTCTTATTCCCAGTTTATTTCCTTCATGGTTGTGGGCAATAGAATATTTAAAAGGAGGTTTGTGCTCTTACATCATGGGGTAGCAAATAAATGACCTAAGCGAAGACCCTATCCAACTATAGGCAGTGTTAGCGGGCTGTACACTGTGAGAGAATAGGTGGTAGCAGCTACAAGGAAAGGGGAAAAAAATGAATGTGTCCCTAATTCTGGCATTCCAGGAGGAGACTGTGACCTACACATGACAAACAGCTTTGGAACAGAGCAGTTAGGCAGTTTTTCTGCAATGCAATTTTGATTTTTGAAACAAACAAATGAACAAATGAAACACATAAGCCTATCAGGTTCTGATAAAAAGAATATTGTAGTTAACACTATATACTTAAGGCTTGAGTTGATAAATAAAACAAATATGCCTTAAGTATAGAATAATCCACTACTCAACTATTTCTATTCCATTAAAATTTATACAAGTTAACTGTTGAAACGAAACAAATTACATGGCTCCAGTTCATCACTTACAGGATCTGTTCATAGTACACACAGTCTTCTGGTTCATATTGTCAGACCTCTATTATACTAAGTCTTAAAAAAATTATTTCTGTAAGTCTATACAGGAGTATGTACACTGACTTTAAAACTTTATATTAAAAAACTCATTGGTCCACAAGGTGTTTATTTTTATAGCAGAAAGTAGTGTATCCATACCCACAGTGAATTATTCAGAACAAAATTATATTTCAAATAAACATTAAATTTATTCTGAAAATTAAAGTTAGGCAAAGGGGCCAGCAAGTGTCATGGTGGTTAAGGCACTGGACTCCCACATGGCTGACCACAGTTCAAGTCCTTGACCTGGTAGCTCACTCACTCTCTCTCTCTCTCTCTCTCTCTCTCTCTCTGTCCAAATTAAAAAAGTAATAATAATTGGGACCAGCAGTTGGAGTAATGGCTACGTCGCTGGACTCCCATGTAGTCGACCATGGTTTGAGTCAAGGACCCGGTGGCTTAAACTCACACCAGGTATGTGTGCCCAAGATCCCAAGAGGAGAACTGAGAAGGGATTGTGGCATGACCATTCCACTTGGGGGCTCATTTCTCATTTTCTGTCTCTCTGTCTCTGTCTTTCTGGCAAGCACACACATCCTATAGTAAAAAGAAAAAAGAAAAAAAAATAACACTCTAAAAAGTAATTATAACGAATATAATTAAATAATTCTTTAATGAAAAGTTAGGCAAGAACACTTTAGATAATGATAAAACAAAGGCCATGCTTTCTATTTTTAAAAATAATATGAGGTATGGAATTCTATGAAGAATCTGAGGAAACAAAGCTTATACTTACAGTCCATAGGAAGAATTGACTGCTAGGCTGGTAATTTGCTGTGGTGGTTCTCCACCCACCCATACCAACTGAATAACTAGCTCTGTCTGGTAACCTGGAGACTGTTTAAGTGGTGAGTTTTTAACTCTGAAATAAAGAAAACGATGTTACTTTTGGACTCAATTCAATCATCTTATTAGCTTATGTAATTACAATACTTAGTCACATAAAAATAACTTTATATACGAAACTATACTAGATATCTAAAAAGCTAGCAGAATCCTGCCTTCTAGAAGCATTTAATCTAGTAGAAGGAACTAAACATGTGCATAAATAACAAAAATTTTAAAAATTGTATGCAAATTCCACATTAAAAAAAAAAAGGATGGCGGGGTAAATAAGGAGGAGGAAAACAATGGGGAGGAAGGTGAGAGAGGGCTGAAGGAAGGGGAGAGAAGGATATAAAGAAGACTGAAGAGAAGCAACAGCCTAGGAATTAAGGACAGGGGGAAAAAAACCAAGCTAGGAAAAAAAATACAAATTAGAAAAGCAGACTTAAAACTTAAAGACATGCACCAGATGGCAGTTCAGTGCTAATATAACTGGAATCCCACGGAAGGTCCCAGATTCGTGTCCCAGGGCCTCCCTACACACCAGGCACTCATGCACATCCCCCTGCTATGGACTGCCTTAGATGGGATGGATAGGAGTATTGGGTGTGCACTGACACCCCCCCCCATGGAAGACATAAATAAACAAACTCAAAAACTGACCAAATACATACAAATTAAAGAATAAGTTAGGAAAAAAAAAAAGTGAGCAACTGATTTTTACAGGACTACTCTTACTATATTAATAAAATGACTTTGAGGTAATAATTTTGAATGTACAGCCTCTTTTTCCAGTAAGTGCTGAATAATGCTAAAAAAAAAAAGAAAAAACAGTATTCTTATAAAACATATGCATGCCAGATAAAGAAGCAGAAAATCCACATTCAATGATTAATAAAGTTTAATTTGGTTCCAGTAGAAAGAGTTATGTAATTAAAGTGAGAAGTCCGTACACTCAGAAAGGCCAGGGCCAGAATTCACAGGGTCTTCAAAGGTTTGATATTGGTAGAAAGAATTCTGGCATCTTGGAAAGCTGGAGTTTGAGTCTTAGCTCTACCACTTCTCATATAAAAAAGTGAGGATATTACTACCATTAAATTTATTCTGAAAATTAAAGTTAGGCAAAGGGGCCAGCAAGTGTCATGGTGGTTAAGGCACTGGACTCCCACATGGCTGACCACAGTTCAAGTCCTTGACCTGGTAGCTCACTCACTCTCTCTCTCTCTCTCTCTCTCTCTCTCTCTGTCCAAATTAAAAAAGTAATAATAATTGGGACCAGCAGTTGGAGTAATGGCTACGTCGCTGGACTCCCATGTAGTCGACCATGGTTTGAGTCACGGACCCGGTGGCTTAAACTCACACCAGGTATGTGTGCCCAAGATCCCAAGAGGAGAACTGAGAAGGGATTGTGGCATGACCATTCCACTTGGGGGCTCATTTCTCATTTTCTGTCTCTCTGTCTCTGTCTTTCTGGCAAGCACACACATCCTATAGTAAAAAGAAAAAAGAAAAAAAAATAACACTCTAAAAAGTAATTATAACGAATATAATTAAATAATTCTTTAATGAAAAGTTAGGCAAGAACACTTTAGATAATGATAAAACAAAGGCCATGCTTTCTATTTTTAAAAATAATATGAGGTATGGAATTCTATGAAGAATCTGAGGAAACAAAGCTTATACTTACAGTCCATAGGAAGAATTGACTGCTAGGCTGGTAATTTGCTGTGGTGGTTCTCCACCCACCCATACCAACTGAATAACTAGCTCTGTCTGGTAACCTGGAGACTGTTTAAGTGGTGAGTTTTTAACTCTGAAATAAAGAAAACGATGTTACTTTTGGACTCAATTCAATCATCTTATTAGCTTATGTAATTACAATACTTAGTCACATAAAAATAACTTTATATACGAAACTATACTAGATATCTAAAAAGCTAGCAGAATCCTGCCTTCTAGAAGCATTTAATCTAGTAGAAGGAACTAAACATGTGCATAAATAACAAAAATTTTAAAAATTGTATGCAAATTCCACATTAAAAAAAAAAAGGATGGCGGGGTAAATAAGGAGGAGGAAAACAATGGGGAGGAAGGTGAGAGAGGGCTGAAGGAAGGGGAGAGAAGGATATAAAGAAGACTGAAGAGAAGCAACAGCCTAGGAATTAAGGACAGGGGGAAAAAACCAAGCTAGGAAAAAAAATACAAATTAGAAAAGCAGACTTAAAACTTAAAGACATGCACCAGATGGCAGTTCAGTGCTAATATAACTGGAATCCCACGGAAGGTCCCAGATTCGTGTCCCAGGGCCTCCCTACACACCAGGCACTCATGCACATCCCCCTGCTATGGACTGCCTTAGATGGGATGGATAGGAGTATTGGGTGTGCACTGACACCCCCCCCCATGGAAGACATAAATAAACAAACTCAAAAACTGACCAAATACATACAAATTAAAGAATAAGTTAGGAAAAAAAAAAAGTGAGCAACTGATTTTTACAGGACTACTCTTACTATATTAATAAAATGACTTTGAGGTAATAATTTTGAATGTACAGCCTCTTTTTCCAGTAAGTGCTGAATAATGCTAAAAAAAAAAAGAAAAAACAGTATTCTTATAAAACATATGCATGCCAGATAAAGAAGCAGAAAATCCACATTCAATGATTAATAAAGTTTAATTTGGTTCCAGTAGAAAGAGTTATGTAATTAAAGTGAGAAGTCCGTACACTCAGAAAGGCCAGGGCCAGAATTCACAGGGTCTTCAAAGGTTTGATATTGGTAGAAAGAATTCTGGCATCTTGGAAAGCTGGAGTTTGAGTCTTAGCTCTACCACTTCTCATATAAAAAAGTGAGGATATTACTACTTACTCATAATATGAGGAACTTGAGAGTACATATGGAAACGCTTCGTAAATGGCCAAATTACACAAAAGTAACACATTTTCATTATTAAAGATTAGAAGCCAATGACGATTTTAAAATCTATTTGGAGTAGATTAATTTAGTGGACGTACATGAGATGAAGTAAAACAAAGAGACTATTTAGGAAGTTCCTAAGATTCTTCTGATATGAAATAATAGGAAAAAAGGGTAGATTTGAAATACATTATGAAGTAAAAATGAACATTATGAAGTAAAAATACATTATGAAGTAAAAACAAAGTTTGTGGATGGCTGAAGCCTTGCAGTTACTTTTAATACTCTGACACAAATGAGATACCCAATAGTTACTGAACGAACGAATACATGAGTGACACTGGAGACTGATTAAAGGCAGGGTAGGTAAAGAAAAAGAACACATAGTGATTCTATGGTCAAAAATTAACAAATAAATCAAAAAAATACTAGGATGAAGAGATAATTTTATGGGAACATGTGGTAAGTTTGAGGTGATGGTAGGGAGCCACAAGGGAACTACCCTTAAGGCAGTTAAACGTATTGCCAAACTTCATGAACAGTGAGTAACTTCATGCCTAATTTACACTGGTTAACTTGTGATACACATGTTAACAAGAGAGGTTTATAAAGTGTGAGACCTTCTTAGGAATAAATAGTTATAATACCTGCCATATTAGTCAATCTCAAGTGGATTTGAAAGATACTTTTTTAAAAGTTAAAAGTGTACTTTTTGGGTGCGACTACTTTTACAATAACAAAAAAATCTACTGTGACTTTAAGCTGAGAAGAGTTTTGATTGGACAGACTCCCTAATAACTGCTTTAATAAAACACATGTAAATCCTGGTTACTGGTTACAATTCATGAGGCTCTTGCTTCGGAGTTAGACCTTTGAAATAAAAAGAAGTGCAGGAAGATTATTCGGTGTTAACTTGCTGACACTAGACTCAGCTATGAACATGCTCAAATCATCTATTAATAGGATGATTAATAGCTGATAGCTGTAGTGAGAAAGACCATGGCATTTGGATGGCATTTTCGTAAGGTAATAGTAGGTCATCATCTTCTGTTAAATGTGACTCACTGAGGGTACCAATAGTGTGAACTGAACGACAGATACTTTCAGCAGTGCAAGGTCTGCAAGGCAATGAACGCACTGGGAACGTGTACACTAGCTGAGACATAGTTTCTCAATTCTTCTCAGGGAAACTCCCACTAATCAGCTGCTGCTATTTATCTGAGAAGTCAGAAATAAAGACAGGCATTTCATCCCCACCCAGAGATGGCTATGAGATGGGCATAGGCAATGGTCCAAATAGTACTGCTTATCCCGTCAGGACTGTCAACTCTGACCTGTCTTGTCATAAGAAAGCAATGAACTGAAGATGCTTATTCTTCGGGTAGGAAATGACTTAATGTTTTAGACTGCTGGATCTGTGGCCACAAGCCTGAGAACATGAGGAAGTCAAAGAAATCATAAAGTACAAATTAAATGAAGTATTCTAATTTTGCTGCAGAAAATGTATATTTATAAGGAACTGCTAGGTTGTTAAAACTCTTAAATAAATAGAGAAATATGTTACCAAAAAAACACCCAGAAGACAAATTGTACTTTATATGCTTACAAAAATTAAACTGAAGAAAGAGTTGGAAAAGAATACATTAAGGGAACCAGCAGTTAGCATAATGGCTATGTCGCTGGACTCCCAAGTAGTCGACCGCGGTTCGCGTCCCGGACCTGGTGGCTTAAAACTTACGCCGGGCGCGTGTGCGTGCGTGCCCAGGATCCCGAGAGGAGAATGGAGGAGAAGGGATTGCAGCGTGACCATCCCCCCTGGGGGGTGATTTCTCGCTTTCTGTCTCTATGTCTCTCTCTGTCTGTCTGGCGAGCGCACGCGCCCTATAGTGAAAATCTCTCAAAAAAAAAAGAATACATTAAAACCAGAAGGAAGGACATTACTGAAAATTTTATAAAACGAAGTTTGAAGTAAAATAGTACAAAGTACGTAAGAAAATGGAAAAATGTAGAATTGTGTTCTGGGTCTCATTTTACCTATACATGTTGTAGAATTGTAGCTAAAATGAGATGTATGCGTGTGAGACAGGAGAAACACACCAAGACAGACAGAAGGAAAGAAACCTTGAGACCTTCCTGATAACATACAACTGCTTAGCCTTAATGCTTATGTTGTTAGATCAGCTTCTCCTCGACACTGTTTACATTTGAGCTGGGTGGGCACTGTCCTGTGCACCACAGTAGGCTACTTAGCACCAGCCCTGGCCTTGTTTTCCACTGTTGTGACAACTAAAAATGTCTCTAGATATTGTGATGAGGGCAAAATCAGTCCCAGTTGAGAACCACTGGCTCTTAGAATATACAATCTCAAACTTTAAAAAAAAAAAAAAATTAAATATTTTTTTAAATTTGTACTTTAAAAATATTGTGATTTTTTTTTAAAAAATTATCAGTCTTCTCTTTTGAGTGAGTGCATTTTTGATTTCACAGACATTCTTTTCACAGAAACTATTAATATTCACCCCTTGAAGAGATTCTGCCAGATGTAAAGCAACACAGTGCAAAGTCTTGGTTTGTTGTTGTTGTTGTTGGTTTATTAACTTTTTTCCATGAGCCAGAGACGACAGCATTCTCAACAGGCACAATCCACCTCAAGCTTCAGCCAGCCCCAGATATGGGCACACATATTCCTGGCACACTTGGGAAGGTCTCTGATGCAAACCTACACATTTTTCATGTGGGTCAGCCTAGTACAATGCTGTGACTGACCACCGTACCACCATCTGACTCCCTTGGTTCTTTTAGAAGGCGCACCTTCTCTGGCTTACTACCCTCCATACCTTAGAGCTACTACAGTCTGACTTTTGCCTCCCACCACTGTACTGAATCTCTTTGACTTCTTCAAGAAAGACTTTTCGGTCCTTATCCTATCCTATTTTCAGATTTTCTAATTCCATCATGATGATGGATTATTTATTTTAAAATGTTTCAATGAATACAATGAGTATATCCTATTTTGGTCAGTGAGTGCAATTCATATATTATCTAAATGTATAATGGACTCCTACTATCAGGTCACTGGAAAGGCATGACATATTTTTCTATTCCTATTTTTATTCTATTTCTAGAATATTTTAAAAAACTTTTATTTATAATAGAGCACATGTGTATGTATGAGAGAGATACAGACAGAAAGAGGCACCTGTCCCAGGGTCTCTTTGGGCCATGACCTCTTTTCCCCAGAACTCCAACTTGTCAGGATGTTAGGTATGCACCTAGCATGATTTCAGGCCAACCCAGGGATCTGAACCTGAGGTCAGTCATGTGGCTTCTAGCGCTACAGGTCAGTTTGCTACTGATGTGCCACCAGGCTTGGCTATAAATAGAATATTTCTAATTATGTAAGTCTTCATGTAATTCCTCAATCATTGTTTCACTTTTCTGTCCATATCCTATAAAAAAAACTTTAAAGCATTCAGGATTTTAAACTAGACAGAAAAAAGGAAGAAAAATTATCTAATTTACATGTGTATGAAAAGCAAAATGTATTTAAATCTGGACTGCTAAACTAAAAGCTTTAAGTAAAGATACTGCAATGTAAGAGAAGATTAAGTAAGTAACTACTAACTGACTGCACCTCTAATTTAAAGACTGAAAAAACTGATTTTCACAGTGGTAGAAAGCAGTCTGAAGACAAATATGATCCACATAAAAATCCCGACTTAAAACATGAATATAGAAGAGTGAATGGTACATAGTGAGAACTCCCATGCTACTTTACTATTAGGTTTGGAAATCAACTCTCAGTATTTTAAGGTTAAAATCATGGAATGTATCATATTCCTCTTGATGCCACAGAAATGAGTTAGATTAACCACAGCAAAATACAGAAAGGGCCACTCTTGGACATTTTAGAAAATGTTCCACAGCTTTACTAATATTTCTATTTATGTAAATGTATACTTACATAAATCGAAAGATAATCCAAAGCGACTCTGATAGTCTATAACTTACTTTAAACAAGGTACATTATCACGAAGCCCATCAGAAGAGCTGCTGCTGGTGGATGGATGAGACTGGGGAGGGATGGGCTGAGGGTTGGAGCCTCCCACGGGTGTTGGCACAGGTGGGGGCTGCTCACCCTCTGGAGATTCCACATCATTTATCTCATATAACAGTCGAACTTCAAGCATCTGTTGTAAAAGTAACAGTTAACCTACTCCTAATAATCAATGCTCATTTTAATACAATTTACACAAACATGTATGTGCACACATGCATAAACTTCAGCAAGAAGACTACTTTTAAAGGTAAAGATTTAGCAAGGAAAAAAAAATGTTTCTTACACAGCTGTTCAAAAACATGTTGTAGGGACCAGCAGTTAGCATAACGGCTATGTCACTGGACTCTCATGTAGTTGACTGCAGTTCGAGTCCTGGACCCGTTAGCTTAAACTCATGCCGGGAGTGTGTGCGTGCGTGCCCAAGATCCCAAGAGGAGAATGGAGGAGAAGGGATTGTGGTGTGGCCACCCCACCTTGAGGGTGATTTCTCGCTTTCTGTCTCTTTGTCTCTCTCTATCGTTCTGGTGAGCGCATGGTCCCTATAGCAAAAACCTCTCTAAAAAAAAAAAAAACAAACAAAACATGTTGTATGTACTCATGAGAGTACACACGTTACGATTTTAGAATTTATAACACTCATATTAATACATTAGAGTACATTCATATTGGCTTCCCTAAAGTAAAATACAATATGTATTTAAGAATTTAAATGTATCCTAAGTAAAAAGATAAACAAAAAATGTTATTTATTACAAAAGACAAATCACAATGTAAATACTAAGGGTAAAAATTTTATACAAAACTGACTGCAAATAGTCTAAATTATCCATAAGTTTAAAACTGTTAGGGTAGTAGACAATGAAAATAATTTAGAAGCAATTTACCGGAATGACTTCTGTAATCACTTCCTGTTTGCTGAATCTATAAATAATGACATGAGCTGAAACTCCAGCTATACATAGCATTCTACTTTCTGGACACCACGAGATGATCTGAATGGCATATGGATCTTCATCTACAATGTCTGTGTTTGGCCTGTCATCTTTATTTCTTGACTTCTCAAAGACTTTAGATGTCTTCAACTTATATAATACTTGTAGAGTTACTAGTAAAAAGATAATACATGTTAGGCATCTTAATATAAAAATCAAATATAAAGTAATGCTTAATCAGTCATACTATGTAAGGAAAATAGTCTATATTTATCCAAACTATAGTTTCGTTTCTCAGTCTGTATTATACAAGTGGTATGTATATAGTAATAGTCCATTACATATTTAGATAATGTATGAATTATACTCATTGACCAAAATAAAATATACTAAATGTATTCACTAAATACATACATTCATACACAAATCCATCATCATGATGGAACTATAAAATCTGAGAATAAATAAATAAATAAATAAATAAATAAGTAACAAAAAGATTTGGGGGTCAGCCCTGTGGCCTACTGGTCAAGGCAGGTGGACTCCACATCGCTTGCCAAGTAGCTTGAATCCTCACTCCAACAGTTTGAAAAATATGGGCACATGTGTACTTGCATGTCCAAAGTCTTAACAGGATGGAGGAACACAGGAGAAGGGATTGTGGCATGACGATGCCCCATTGTGGGTACTTTCTTCTTCTACCTATCTCTATCTCTGGTAGGTACACAAACCTTCTCGCAAATTAGTTTGCTATGTAGCGTGTGCACTACCCAGAGAGAGAATAAGAGGAAAAGTGAGAAAGCACTCCTCAGGAAGATGGCCACATCAAAATCCTTTCGCACACATTCTCTTCTTGGGATGCTAGGCATGCACACACATTTGCCTGGTGTGATTTTCAGTCTCCAGTTCGAAGCTTCAACAGTGTAGTCAGCCTATGAGATCCATGCTACCTGCTGGCTCTATTTGTACATTTTTATTTTTTTTTGCAAAATCTTTTTTAAGTTTGATTTTATTTTTCTTTAATTTTCCAGAGGTAGCGCCAGCAGGTAGCATGGAGGTTAAGTGGGCTGGATCTCACATGGCTGGTCGAATCCCGAACCCAGAAGCTTGAAAATCATGCTGGGTGCATGTGCATATGTGCCTAATATCCAGAGAAAAAAATGAAATGGAGAAGTGACTGTGGAAAGACCATCTTGCCTGGGGGTGCTTTTTCACTTTCATTTTCTCCCCCTATCTTTCTCCCTGTCAAGCACAAATACCCTAGGGACCAGCAGTTAGCATAATGACTATGTCGCTGGACTCTCACGTAGTCTACCGCAGTTTGCATCCCGGACCAGGTGGCTTAAAACTCACGCCGGGCGTGTGTGCGTGCGTGCCCAAGATCCCAAGAGGAGAATGGAGGAGAAGGGATTGCGGCATGGCCATCCCCCTTGGGGGGTGATTTCTCACTTTCCGTCTGTCTGTCTCTGTCTGTCTGGCGAGGGCACATGCCCTATAGCAAAAACCTCTAAAAAAAAAAAAAAAAAAACCCTAAAAGAAAAGCTTAAAAAAAAAAAGTATAATGAAAATTATAAATAATATACTTCATTTTTAAAAGTGATTTTTCTACATATTTTCTCTAAAAGAGGTACCAATATTATCAAATACTCCTACATGAGAAAACATAATATACCCTAAGTTAGCTGGATTTCTACTGAATGCTTCCTATGTATGTTCTGCAAAAATTAGTCATTAAAGGCATTCTTTCCTTTCTTGCTACACTGTGTAAGTATCAGGTAAAATTCACAAAGAAAACACAAACTTTTGGAATGTAACTTTAAAATCAGACATCAAAATAATTCTAGAAATTTCTGTTGGTTTGAAACATATTTCCAGCTTCTCATACCTCTGAGTTAGAAGAGAAAGTTTGAAGAAATTTAAAGGATTTTAATACATCTGTGGAGAATTATTCTTGATTTACCAATATTCTTAAGAATATCTTTAGTAGAAATTCTAAACTTATATACCTGATAATCAGGCATTAAATTTATAGTCCCTAAATTTCAAATTAAATAATGCTTAATGAAATTACTATGACTAGGATGTATAAAATGATTATGTAACATACAACAAATAATAAATCCTCAAAATACTTACTTGCAGAAGCATCCCAGAACTTAACTGACCCATCAGCATGCCTATGAAAAGCAAATGAGTTAAGAATATAATAAAGAAAAAAATTATATTTCCCCTTCTTTAAGCATATATTTTTACTTAAAAAGACAGTCAATAAAATGCGTAAAAAGTAGATCTAAAGGTAAATTGGACGGTTTTTAATAATAGCTTATTTTTCTGTTATAGCATAAAGGAAACTCCTGCCCAATAAATTAAAATTCATGTAGTCTTGATCATTATACTTAGCTATTATTGATTTACTTGATAAAAACAGAGTCTCACTTACCCTGTAATAATTATTTCAGGGTAGCTTTGAGCACCCAAACCCCAATTACCTCCATTGATGGGCCATTCCTTTAAGAAAAGAACACTGTATAAGCACTTCGCAAGCACATTAAACACCCTCACACATACACATCTACCGAAAGAGTGAGCAACAGAGTTTGCTTCCAAAAATGATTTTTTATACGTTTCGGATACAAAAAGTTTTGATATTATCAAAAACTTCCAAAGCATAGAAAATATTAATAATAAGTAGAAAGTACTAAGAGATAATTAATACTGAAACTCATGTTCAATACCTTTTTGCTGTAACCCTGACGTTTCTGTCTAGCTCCAACGGAATAAAGTGCAGGAATTAGGTCCACAGGACAATCAGCAAAATATTCACAACATGTAACAGGAGACTCATGTATACTCAAAGGGTAGGGATTTTCAAATATAGGATATCTTTACAAGAAAAAAAAAGAAAAAATATTTATTAATTTAATGAATTATAACCTATTATTAATACTATGAAAACTTACAAATATAAATTCTAAAAGAAATGATTGGGTGGTTGGGAGAGTCATGACACATGTTTGCATAGAAAAATACAAAAAAAGTCATGACTTCCCTAACAACCTGATAAATTGGTTTAATGTATGTAAATATGTAAAAAAAAAAAGTTTTTTTTATAATAAAAGAAGCGCAAACGGAATAGTAAACAGGCTAAAGATGCAACTATTAATATATACCATGTCTTATACACTAGACTAAGTACTAAGTCCCATATTTATACACACATATACATGTGTACATATATATATAAAGTCTACTTCTTTATCCAAACTTATGATTGTAGGCATTTTACAAAGGAACAGAATCTTAACTGTGCTCTTAAGCTATTAAGTTTGCAACAACAGATACCGTATCCTCACATCAGCAGAATACAAATTTTCAGTCTTTTCTCTCCATCAGTCCAATATTTAATCCAGAACATTCTTTTTTAAATGATAATATTTTTAAAAAATACACTTTAAATGTTTCTTAGATATAAATCATTTTATTGAATAAGGCAAAAAAAGCTTTTAAAAATGATAAAATTAAACTTAAATCCTATGTAAATATGCAATGATAGTTCTTTTCTAACTTTAAAGTCCTTACAATAAAAATGGTTACTTAAAAACATCTGGAAAAGTGCTGGCAGGTTGTGTGAAGATTAGGCCAACTAGATCCCATGTGGCCGACCCAACAGTTAGAGTCCCTGACCCAGTGGCTTAAAAGTCACATTGGGCATGTGTGTGTGCACACACATGGAGAAAATGGAGAAGAAGATATTAAGCATGGCTGTCCTTGGGGCTGAAGGGTGTGAGTGGTGTAGGGGGTGGTGCATGGGAGAGTTCTCACTCTCCTCCCCATCTTTCTCTGGAGACTGCAAGTACACTTAACCAAAATAAACAAACAGAAAGAGAAAGAAAGAATGAAAGAATGAATGAAAGAAAGAAAAGAAAAGGAAAGGAAAGGAAAGGAAAGGAAAGGAAAGGAAAGGAAAGGAAAGGAAAGGAAAGGAAAAAGAAAAGAAAAGAAAAGAAAAGAAAAGGAAAGGAAAGGAAAGGAAAGAAAAGAAAAGAAAAGAAAAGAAAAGAAAAGAAAAGGAAAGGAAAGGAAGAGGGGAGGAGGGAGGGAGGGAGGGAGGAAAGATATCTGGAAAACCAGACACTGACTAAAAAAAAATCTAAAAAGTAAAAGTGGTCAGTATGCAAAAATTAGATGCATGGATCAGTATAATACTGACAATAAGTTTTAAAAACAGAGGAGAAATTTCAGAAAAGTCCTCTAATATAAACCAAACTAGTATCACTCTTCTCCAAACAGAAAACAAACCCAAAACAAAAGTATGTGTTAATAAAATAGCAACCAGGGTCAGCAGGTGGCATGGTGGTTAAGATGCTGGACTCTCCCACGGCCAATAGGAGTTTGAGTCCTGGACCTGACAACTTGAAAAGAATGCCAGGGGTGTGTGCATACATATTCCAAATCCCAGGAGGAGAAAGGATTGAGGTATGGCCATCCTTGCTGGGGGGTGGGGTGGATTGAGGGGGGCCTGATTTCTCACTTTCCCCCTGTCTCTCTCTCTCTCTCTGGCAAGGGCATTCACCCCGATGACAAAAAAAACTCTCTACTAGATCTCAGTAGGAAAACCCTGCCCCCCACCATGGTCTACACAGATACTGCCAAATATTCCCAGGGGACAAAAATCTCACTTTGAGTGAGAAACACTAAAATATTGAATGGGTAAATTCAATCAAAATCATGCTTAATGATTATTTTTCAAGCTATACACTAAACAATACAATATTTTTACATTCAAACAATTTACAAAGAAACATGATATCATCTTTGATAGAAAAACAACAATATGGTACATACAATAAAAAGTTATGAAGAAGCTAATGGTGGAGATTTACAAATCAGATATAAATTTTTTTTTGGGGGGGGGGCGAGAGGTTTTTCGCTATAGGGCACGTGCGCTCGCCAGACAGACAGAGAGAGACATAGAGACAGAAAGCGAGAAATCACCCCCCAAGGGGGATGGTCACGTCGCAATCCCTTCTCCTCCATTCTCCTCTTGGGATCTTGGGCACGCATGCACACACGCCCGGCATGTGTTTTAAGCCACCGGGTCTGGGACGTGAACCGCAGTCGACTAAGTGGAAGTCCAGTGACATAGCCATTAAGCTAACTGCTGGTTCCCATAATCAGATATATTTTTTTTAAAAAAAGGATAGAAAAAGTTTTAAAAAAGAAAGGAAATCTGACTTGGGAAATTAAATAGATTTAAAAAATTTTAATTTTGCCTACTTTTCCTATGAGCAAGAGAGACGGAGAGACAGCACCAATAGGGTCTCAATGCTGCGATTTACCACCAGCCACAGCCAGCTCTAGATCACAGGCACACACATATTCAAGGTGGTCTTTAGAAGTGAACCCAGAACCCTCATATGAGTCAGCTTCAGAGAATGCTGCTGTTTACTGCTGCACACCATCCAGCCTAAAAGTTGTATTGATGTTTGATGGCAGTGAAATAGCTGGAATAGTTTGGCTATTGAGAATTATTTAAAAGACATGAAAAGTGTCTGTTCATATGTGTTTAACACAGAGTTCAGTTTTCCCAAGGAATGAGACGGCTGTGGGAAGACTGACACATTGGGTTGGAAAGGAACCCTGAATCCCTGTAGTTTACAGTAGGAGGCCGACAAAGCGTTTATAAATAAAAAATATTATAGCAAATGATGATTTAAAGAGAAGAGTAATGAAATTGGCGCTGTGTGAAATTAATTGACAATGGTATTCATGGCACATTTCAACAGTGAATGCATAAATG